GAAGGGACGGGTGTTTGATCATTGTATGACCAACCAAGACTTGAACTGAAAGGCTTTGTGACTGTTCTCACGGTGATTCAATAAATTTAAAAAAAAGAAAAGAAAAAAGAAATACCCTGTCAGCCACAGCTTTTATCTCCAACTCCACATCTAGAATCTAGCTTTTCAGAATGATTTCTCATATAATGCTCTGAACTTCTGTTAATTCTGTATTGTTCTACGTGATTATTTATATTAACTCATTTAATCTTTCCAACAGACCTAAGAATATGTGCCAGTTAGGTAAGATAAAGCAAGGTCTAGTCAATCAGCCTCCTACACGTGGTAAATGACGGAGCTGGAGTTGAACCTAGGCAAGCTGGCTCCAGGCTTTATTTTTTTGAAAGTGAGATTTTTGACCTTTTGACCACCATATTGTAGCCAAATCTCTCAAATGATTTAAGCCATTTAGGGTTATCGTTCCATAATATAAAACTAAACTATGTCAGTTCCTCCCATGGCTTTCCCTGTGTGTGAGACCAAACGCCTTTACATCATGGTTCATGACATCTTCCACTGTACTCCTGTGTCTCAGATTTCGTATCCCACACTTGCACGGGCTCCCTCCACCCAGCCACAGTGCTCTTCCACTCTCATGTTGCTATCCAGTGGGACCTCTGTCTATACTTGCATTCTGCCTCCTGGCTTGGCTAGAGCCTGTTCACTCCTCAGATTACGGCCTCAGAAAAGAGCTCGGGTTACTGATTTGACATTTCTGTATTTTTTTGCTATGTAATATAATTCTCTGTTTCTCAAAATTTTCCATCTTTGGAAGCTTACTTTGCCTGATATTAATATTTTGTGAATGACACCTTTTTTCTACCCTTTCATTTTAAACTTGCCTATATTATTATATTTAGGGTGGGCCTGCATAGCATATCTCACTGTAATTTTAATGTGCATTTCTCAGATGATTCAGCATGGGTTTTTTTTGTTTTTTGTTTTTGCTTTTTGGGTAACACCTGGCAATGCACAGGGGTTACTCCTGGCTCTGCACTCAGGAATTACCCCTGGCGGTGCTCAGGGGACCATATGGGATGCTGGGAATCGAACCTGGGTAGGCCGCATGCAAGGCAAATGCCCTACCTGCTGTGCTATCACTCCAGCCCTGATTTAGCATATGTTGAGTATCATATGCCTCTTGGTTTCATTTAGATTTTCTTTATTAAGTGCCTAGGAACACCTTTGACCATCAAAATATTGAACTATATAGTTTCATTTCTTAAACATTCTAGATTTTAGGAAGGGGAAAAGTTAAGAATTTTGCCATTACATATGATACTAGCTTTAATTTTCCCTTGCTGCCCTTTACCAATTTGAGAAATTCCCTAATGTTTCTAGTTTGTAAAGGTCGTTTTCTCAGTCTTACTGAGAAATAGCTAGCTCATACTAACACATAAATTTATGATATATAGCATGAAGCTTTGATTCAGATATACTGTGAAACAACTGCCATCATAGGTTCTCCTAAGTTCTATCTTTTAATATAGCTATAATAAAAGGAAATAAAAAAAATAAAACCAGGGAAAGTCAAAAAGTAGGGAAGGAGGCACACAGGTGATGGGTGTGATGTGGGAATCACATGCATAGGAAACCACCAATAAAGGTGTTGCACATCACAGAACCTCAATAAAATATTTTTTAAAAACAAAAGAAGACCAAATATTTCTCTTCATATGAGAAAAAATGTTAAATAAAATGTTGAAATGTGTCCATGCTTTTTACTTTTCTATTGAAATGTTTCTCCAAAAGTTCTGTAAAGATTACAAATATAATGATATACATATAGATGTTTAATATTGGTTATACAATATACAGTTATACTTGAATTCCTAGACTAAATGATAATTAGTCATGATATTCTACATTTTTTCAAATATTGATAGGTTAAAGTTGCTAACGTTTTGTTTAGGATTTTAATTTTAGTATTCACAAGAGAAACTGATTCTGTAATTATTCTTCCTCAAAATGTTGTCATATTTTACATGTTTTTCTTGGGAAGCATTTCCTCTTATCTAATCTTTGAAATAGTTTATACACTATTGGTGTTATTTCTTCCTTAAGTATTTCGAGGAATCAACCAGTGAACCCACATGGTCCTAGAATTTTCTTTGTTAGAAAAAATTTTTATTCAGTTTAACTTGTATAGGTTACTCAAGACTTCTAATTCATCTTCTGTTCATTTTAGTAAATTATGATTTTTAAGGAATGTATTCATTCATATTGCCAAATCTCCTGAAATAAAGATATATACAATATTCCCTTACTGTTTTTAATGTCTTGCTGCAGGTTGACTTTAGGTTGACCTTGCGACCACTCACTACTTTCGGACTAGCCAGACACAGTAACAACAAAGTCTCCAATGGAGACGTTACTGGGCCCGCTCGAGCAAATCAATGATCAACGGGAGGCCCTTTACTTTACTTACTTTACTTTTTAATGTCTGTGAGATCTCTGCTGACATTTCCATATTCATTTCAGATATTAATCATTTGTTTTATATCTTCTAAAAATTTCTTATTACTAGGCATCTCTAAATTTTACTAATTTTTTTCAAAGAATAAACTTTTATTTCCTTTGTTCATGTTTTTAATTTCATTACATTCTAGCACAGCGGGTAGGGCGTTTGCCTTGCACACAGCCAACATGGCCAACCCAAGTTCGATTCCTCCGCCCCTCTCGGAGAGCCCGGCAAGCTACAGAGAGTATCTCGCCTGCACGGCAGAGCCTGGCAAGCTACCCGTGACGTATTCAATATGCCAAACACAGTAACAACAAAGTCTCCAATGGAGACGTTACTGGGCCCACTCAAGCAAATCGATGAACAACAGGAGGACTGTGACCATGACCATTCTTTATTTCAGTCTTGCTCATTCTGCCTTTCATAAGCTCTTGAATTATATTACATTATACCACAGATTTTAAACCTCTTATCTGACACATGTAATTAAAACTATAATTTCGGGGAGGCACACCTGGTGGTCTTCAGAGATTACTCTTAACTCTGTGTTCAGGGATCACTCCTGGTGGGCTCAGGGAACCATATGGGGTGCTGGAGGTTGAACTTGGGTTGGCCATATGCAAGCAAGCACCCTATATGATGTACTATTATATACAGAATAGCAATTTTTAAAAAGTTAGGTATGATTGAAACCTGCCCACACGGCAGAGTCTGGCAAACTCCCCGTGGCGTACCCAATATGCCAAATACCAGTAACCAGTCTCGTTCTCCTAACCCTGAAAGAGCCTTGAATGTGGCACTTTTTAGAATCTCAAGGCTAGGACGTTACTGGTGCCTGCTCGAGGCAATCAAGGAACAAGAACAACAGGATGATTGTGATTGTGATGATTGAAACATAATCACAAAAGTGCGTAAGTCTGCAACTGTATCTCATGGTCACTGTTACTGTCACTGTCCTCCCATTGTTCATGATTTGCTGGAGAGGGCCCAGTAAAGTCTCCATTGTGAGACATGTTGTTACTATGTTTGTTATATCGAATATGTCAAGGGGAGCTTGCCAGGCTTTGCAGTGCCAGCCAGATACTCTCGGTAGCTTGCCAGGCACTCCAAGAGGGGCAGAGAAATCAAACTCGGGTTGGCCATGTTGGCCGCTTGCAAGCAAATGCCCTACCTGCTGTGCTATCGCTCCAGCCTATAATAATGTCAGAAATTAATAAAAGTTAATATTGAGTTTTCTCATATACAGAACGAAAAGAATAAAATCATGATTAATATTTCAGAGTGCATGGTATTTCATTAAAAAAAATTAAAAAGGTAGAGCTCTTTCTACTTGGTATCTAACAACATTATATTCTTGTTTTCCTTTTTAAATTAAAAAAATTTTTTACTGAGATTCTATAGTTTATAGTGCTATTAATACCTATTAATACTGTTTTCTCATGTACGTAATTCCAATACCACACCCATCATCTATGTAACTCTCTCCCTCACTGACAGGCCCCAACACCTCTACATCCCAACTCTGTTCCACCCAACCAAATTGTGTGGATCAAACTAATTTTTTATTTTTATTTTTTTATTTTTTTTGCTTTTTGGGTCACACCCAGCGATGCTCAGGGGTTATTCCTGGCTCTGCACTCAGGAATTACTCCTGGCGGTGCTTGGGGGACCATATGGGATGCCAGGGATCAAACCCGGGTCAGTTGCATGCAAGGCAAATGCCCTAACCATTCTGCTATCGCTCCGGCCCCAAACTAATTTTTTTAAAGCTACCACAATCTAAGCAATGTTTTAAGTTGGATCTCACAAATACATTAATTTTTTTCGTATTTAAAAATGCAAAAGAATTTATTTGTATTTTTAAAATTTAAATTCTTTGATAATAAATAAAATATATTTGAACATATAACTAAATTCCTTGATAATAAATAAAATATATTCTTCAGTGATCAGGGAAGAAAAAAACTGAAGGGGATACATGGAAACTTTCTAAGGTGATGGTAAGGCTCCATAATTTGATTTGGATATTGTTAAACAGGTAGCACTGCACTATAGCACTGTCTTCCATAGTTCATCGATTTTGCTCCAGCAGGCCCAGTAACATCTCCATTGTGAGACTTGCTGTTACTGTGTTTGGCATATCGAATACGTCACGGGTAGCTTGCCAGGCTTTGCCTTGTGCACCTTGATGGTGTCGAGGTGTGGTACATCTATATATCTAAACCACAAAGTCAACAGCACTGAACAAGTGATCCAAACACCAACCACTAAACTTAAAAATGTGCCTGTCAAGGAGACAGGCTGGGAGGTGGGAGGGATCTTGAGTACATGGGTAGAGGATAGTTGACACTGGTGTTGGGATTGGTGTTGGACTATTTTATGCTTGAAACTCAATTATGAATAACTATAAATCAGAGGGTCTTAATAAAAAAATAATTAAAAATAAAATAAAATGCTTTTCCATTCAGGTGTATACTGATAAACTCCCCAGTCAACTCACCTTAGTACCATCAAACAGACAGAGGCGAATGTGCCGACTAAGAACCTGGATGCTCGTCCCAGGAAAGGGGATCATTTTACAGCTCCACAGGGTCAGGATCAATGAAACACGACTTGGTCTTGACCTAATCTGAGAGAAAAATCTGTTCTAGAAAACATCTATTTTTATGAATGGCAAAACAGACTCAATTTTGATGCAGCTTTTATAGAGTAAGAAAGTGTACATAAAATAAAAATAATAAAAGAAACATTTTATACATAAGTTCATAATACCATTTCTTCAGGTAATAGTATCATAAACAGATCAAGCACAACACACACTACATGCTGACTCCACAAAAATATTTCACACTAAGAATTTTCCAGGGGGTACAGTGCCACACAGCAGCAAACCTGTGAGGCAAGTGCCACAGCAGCCTGATAGTGCTTTCAGGCTTCCTGATACCCCAAAATTGCTACTGTGCCTCTGGCCAGACCCCAGCAACTTAGGCATGTGGGAGGCACACCCACAAACCACCTCTGGCTCAGCTATACAAGCTTATTTATCAGCCTTGCTTCAGAGACTCATAAATTAAATTTCAAAAGAGATCAAAATCAGACCATTTAAACACGTTAAAGGTGATGATTCAGAGACTGGCAAATGATCTTGGAAGAGAGCAGGACACTGCAGAGATGTCTCCCACCCTGCGCCAGGCTGATTTCACCAGGGCACCTCTAGGGATAGAGGTGTGTCCCTCCACCTGCCCCAAATGAACCCTGACAGCAACAAACCTCCAGAACCCAATCACCATCATGATCACCACTGATCTTCACAGGCTTGTCCTGATCTCCTCACACATGATAATGAATTCACTGAAAAACCCAGGTACTCAGGACCAGTGACTGAAAACTCCAGGCTACATGGAGTCAGGGACGGGTGACCTCCCCATCTCCTACCCTTCTGGTTTCCTGGTAGTCATACTCAAGAACTGCCTCCAGGCACCATTTAATTGCACTAACGGTGATGATCTAGAGATTCACAAATGAATCTCTGAAAAGAGCAGCACACTGCAGAGATGACTTTGGACCCCAAATATTTAAAATATTTTAGAATTCCAGGATCGCATGGCTGCTTTTGTGGCCGTACTTCTGCTACTATTCATAATAAGCAATACAAAATAAATTATTTAGCATCTGCCTATGGAGCAGTCTTGGGTGGTGGTGGGAAAATTCAAAATAATGATGTTGGGAAAATGTAATGGTGGTGGGACTGGTGTTGAAGTGTTGAATGTAAACAATTATTGTGAGCAACTTTTTTTGTTTGTTTTTGGGTCACACCCGGCAATGCACAGGGGTTACTCCTGGCTCATGCACTCAGGAATTACTCCTGGCGGTGCTCAGGGGACCATATGGGATGCTGGGAATTGAACCCAGTTTGGCCGCATGCAAGGCAAACGCCCTACCCGCTGTGCTATTGTTCCAGCCCGTATTGTGAACAACTTTATGAAAATACAACTTAAAAATTAAAAAAGAAAAGTAATGTGGAGTTCATACCTGCTTCAGTCAGCTTAATCAGTGGCTGAATAAATAGCAGTACTCCTACACTTAAAACACTGTCCTCCCGTTGTTCAGCAATTTGCTCGAGCGGGCCCAGTAACATCTCCATTGTGAGACTTCTTGTTACTGTGTCTGGCATATTGAATACTCTCGGTAGCTTGCCAGGCTCTCAGAGAGGGGCGGAGGAATCGAACCCGGCTCGGCAGGGCTGGCTGCATGCAAGGCAAAGGCCCTATCCCTGTGCTATCACTCCAGGCTACACTTTAAAAAAAAAAAAGAAAAAAAGAATTCCAGGCAATGCTCAGGTAAAAAGGCACTAAAATTCTATGCTACTCCTTCCCACAAAATTTAACACACTTGATTCTCTCTCATTCTTCCTTTGAAGCTATGACAGGGCAGGAAGGGAGTGGAAGAGGAGAAACAAAGAGGCAGTGATTTGCTCTAATGTGAGCTACATTTGCAAAAATAAATGTGCAAGGAATTAAAGATAAAGAGGATCTTCTACTTTAAATTGTGGCTATTACAGAAATCCTTTATTTGAAGCTCTCCCCCAAAGTGTGTAATCATCAAGTACTGTCCACTTCCTTATACCTACTTAAATAAAATACTTCTATCGTTAACAATAACAATCATGATACAGCCTAATGTTTACTAAGTTCTTACCATGCACAGGAACCGTTCTAAGCTGTTTCCATAGTGAATGTAATTCACACTTTATGTTGAAAGTATTATTATTATTCCCATTAATTCACTCATTCATTCATTTTGGTTTGGGGGCCATACCCACCTATGCTCAGAGCTTATTCCTGACTGTGTTCAGGGATCACTTCTGACAGTGCTTGGGGCGATACATGGTGCCACATCAGCTACGTGCAAGGCAAGTGCCTTAATCTCTATCTATACTATAATTCTCTAATCCCTTATTATTCCCAATTAGGAAATGAGGAAAAGAATGGTTAAGATAGATATCTAGGTGATTTCTTGAGACAGTAGAAGAAAAGAACAATGGGGAATAGAAACAAAATGAAGTTAAGGTAAAAACTATTCAAGTTTTGAGACCAAAGTAACAGTGCAGAGTGGAGGGCACTTGCCTTGCACATGTCCAACCCACATTCAATCTCCAGCATTCCTATGGTCTCCCAAGCCCAGCCAGGAATAATTCCTGAGCACAGAGCCAGGACTAATCACTGACTAGGTGTGACAAAAAAAAACAAACAAAAAATCCAAGTTTTATCCCAACTATGAAAGTATTTATTTATTTCAAAATTATAATATAGAAAGGCTTTTTGACTTTGTAATGCATTAATCAATTAACATTTCATTGTAGAGACTTTACATATACTCATAATCATGACAATCTGGAAAAGGTATCATTTCACTGACAGTAACTATACTTACAGTGCCTGTTTTAGCATCCCACAAAAGATCTTTGAAGGCCAGCTGTGAAGGAGTGAGCTCTGGTTGGAGGAAGTAACTTGCTTGAAACTGATTCCCTGAAAAATAATTCTTCATTTGCTTTCTAAGAAATAAATCAAATAAAAAACTAAAATCTATGATTTTATGCTATAAACTTGTGTAACAGACACCTACAAAATACTTAGTTGCAGACTAGAAACTTGCTTCCTAAGAGACAGATTTCTTACATCAAAATAACTAGGAAATTAAAGCTAGAAGTACAGAAAAGTTGGTCTTAAAGAAGCTTTATGAAAGAAAACATCTTAAAGGCTGCTCGTTTCTTTCTTTCCAGGAATATGCCCTCCTCTCTTTTTCTTTCTCCCCTAATAAATCATTTTAAAAAGGGTAAAAATCTTAGACTTTTAGAACAATCAAATATCCCATAATGAAGATAATTCAGTCCAATATTTTTTGTATAAAACAGAAAAGCTGCATACTTATTGAAGATTTTAGAGACTATAAAATCATTCTTTTTTTCCTTAACAAAAACCATTTATATTGCTTTTACATGCTTTATGTACACTATTTAGTACATCATTTACTCATCTGAGAAATAATTTTGTGTTCCTACTCAGCTCCTACTAGGAGCTGGAAATAGAAATGAGAATCAGAGAATGCGTTCTCTTGCTCTCATTAGTCAATAGCTGGATGGGGGAAACTACATAAGAAATAAACAGGGGCTGCAGGGACATGGCTGAGTGGCAGAGCCCCAGCCTTGCTGGTGTGAGGCCCAGAATTAGATTCTCAAAACATCCCCACATGCTGGGTGTGATCCCTAACACTGTGTGCTCGTGATCGTGGTTGCACCACAAGAGCAACCCCCAGCGCACTGCAATCAAGTGTGTTGTAGGGGCACATGACAAGTGTGCAATGCTTCCTCCCCACCCCCACACCCCGTCGCTGCCCCAGACACTACAACCAGCACAAAAAAAAATGAGAAGGAGAAAGAAAGAAGTAGACATGAGAACAAGCAAAATAAACCAATAAAGGATACTCAGGAGAAAGGCAGCAGGGTAAGTGCCAGGACTCAGGAAGGCATCTCTGGGAAGGAGAAATTAGCCCAGAGGTCCTGAAGGAGGACCAGCCGGGCATTCATTGAGGGCTGCCACTTTTCCAACCTGGGCAACCTCAAAGCATCACAGATAACTAAACAACTTGGGATAACGAGAAGAGCACCCCACCACCACCACCACCACCACCACCATCACCACCACCACCAAACAAGCTTACGGATGAAAGTAGAAGAGAAATCTAAGAATAAGTAAAATTAAAATCAAACAAAAACAGACATGGCAAATACAGATAATTCTTTGGGAAAGGCTTGCTGTGAAGACAAGCAGAGAAAGGAAGACAAGCTGGAATGAAGAGAGCTGGAAGGGTTAGTTTCTGAAGGGGGGGGTGGTCACCGAGAGAGTCGGGCTTCTATCACAGAGGAGAGAGGAGGGGACCCATAGTACAGGGAAACAGACTGACCGCCCCATGCTCACAAGCCTTCCTTCCAGGTCATAGGAAGGACCAAGTGAAAGATGCGCCCCACCCCCACCCCCACCCCCGAGAGGTGTGTAATTCAACATCTTCTACAGCTTTTTCTGGCTGTCAGAAAAAAATAAGAATTAATGTGACTGATAACACTTACCTTCTTCCAGAAGCTGGAAGAGTGTGGAAGGCCTGAACCCTGAAGGTATGGCTCCCATTGTGGTTAACGTGTCAATGGTATGTATCTGCTGAGGAACGTGAACACAAAAATGCTCACAACAGAGCAGCTGCTTTCAACACGCCCCCACCAAAGCCCAGCTCCAGTCCCACTACCCCACAATGCACTGTTATGTGACTGAGGAGTTAACATCCAAATCAATGTGCACTATAGAATGCATGGTTGTTTTGGTGTATGTTCAAGTGAAAACACACACACACATACACACACACAAACTCACTCTGCAGGTCCATATAAATTAAAGGCAGAGTAAAGTCTAGAATAATATTTATCAACTAAAGTGTTTATGTTTACTTATGGTAAGTAGAGTTTTATGGTTTTTTCACAATTTTTAAATGATAAAGACCATAAATAATTTATTTCTTTGAGCTTTTGAGAATTTTTCAAATAGTAACTAAAATTGAATTTTACCCAAATGAGTTTCACTGAAATGAAAGTTCAACAAGAGATTTCAAAGTCCTCAAATTTATTTCTCCTACAGAAAAGATCTAATGTCACCCAGAACAGAGATTGACTAGGCCAGAAAAATATGCTTTAAGATCTCTATATGACTGCCTCATGTCCCAAAGTTAACTTCCAATATCTCCAGCATTTTATAGTGTTTCAGAATTCGATCAGAACTATTCAAAAACAAAATGATCTATCATTAACAAGACAAGAAATACCTACCTCTGAGACAGCTTTTCGAACAGCACTCCAGTGAGAATCAGTACTGGGGAGACAAAATGGCAAGAAGACTGCATGGTCTATTTCCTCAATTTGGCAACTTCATTAATAAGGGAAGAATCCATGCAAGTTTAAGTTCTGAACACATAATAGATGAAATTATAATAGAATAACATGCACTAAAATAATCATGATCTTAAATAATGTTCTTTAAGCAAATACTATTAGAAGCACAGATGTCAGATGCAAGTTGCTCCCATTTCAAGCAATTTCCGAGTTGTTCATAACAGTAAAAATAAGGAAAAAGTCCCCTCAGCCTAATTCTTCCCCACATTTGTTTCCCCCACATCTGTTTACCTTTGTTTCATTTCAGCTCCCTCTGCTGAATCATTCCCCACCTTGACGTCTTCTTCACTGCCTTCTTCACTTGATTCTTGCTCTTCTTCTTCATTATAGGGCTGAAAAAATATTATAATGTGAAATGCTCTACCTGATACAAAGATAAGCTCACAAAGATATTCTCAGAAAGTCTTAATTTTGTTAAAACCATTACTTAAAGCGATCTTTTATAACTCATAGTACAAGCTAATTTCAATTTCACATATAGTACAATTATCATAGTCATTATGTTAGCTACCATATAATCATATTATCATATTTGTCATATATATAGTTCTTTAGGTCAATAACCACCTAAATACCTATTCTATAGAATACTTGAATACTATAGCATTTATTGAAACAGAATATTTGGACCGGGGCTGGATAGTACCTCTCATCAAACATATGAAATGTAATTTGTCCAAACTGAGTTGTGCTTTGCAGTGTAAAATATACGCTGAAATTTGAAGTACTTAGCATGAGAAAAGAAGGAATTTTTAATATTCATTATATGTTAAAATGTTCCTATTTTATATATTTGGATAATATGAAATATATTATTAAAATGTTTTTATTTTAATTTTTAGTGGGTGAGGAAGAATAAAAAAAGTATTTATTTTGCCTTTATAGTTTTGGACACAGTTACTACACTATTTGGAATTTCCTCAGAGATTGTAATGTCACTGCCATTCATAAGAGCTTATGATAATGAAGTGAGAGTACCAGATAGCCTCAAGAAAAGGCTGGCACCCAGAACCCGCCCCTGAAAGACTGGAACTTTCAGGGCCCCAGCCTCACCTGGAGAGTGTGGAGAAACGCTGTAGACTGAACTTAATCTACAATGGCCACTGATCTGATCAGCTGTGCAGACATAAGGACACCTCTATACAATAAACTCAAAAAAAAAGGCAGTTGAGACATTGTCCAGGCTGGTGACCATCTTTAGAGTGCTGAGACAGCACTACAGAAGCCAAGAAAGATCTCAGCCCTTCTCCCGTCACATCCATCACCTTGACCCTTTAAATCTTTCCAATCTGGCTGTTCTTAGTTTGCATCCTTGATATTATAAGCTAATACACAAAAATTATTTCATGAATTCTATGATGCCTTCTAGAAAATTATCAAACCTAAGGAGGGTACATGGGATCCTCCAAGTTTAAAATCAGTCTCTTAGTAGCACAGGTGACCCCAGGGACTGATGACCAGTATCTGAACTGGGGCAGTCTTTTGGGCCTGACCACTTAATTTGTGGGGTCTGGATAACTTTAAATTAGTGTAAGATTTGATTTGAGAGTCTAGATATCTAGTTGCTATTGGAAAGAAACATTTATCTGTTGGATAAAAACCATACACTTGGTGCCAAAAGTCACTGTTACTGTTCTCCAGTTGTTCATCAATTTGTTCAAGCTGGCAACATTGTGAGACTTGTTGTTACTGCTTTTGGCATATCGAATACTTCACGGGTAGCTTGCCAGGCTTTGTTCTGCGGGTGAGATACTCTCGGTAGCTTGTCGGGCTCTCCGAGAGGGGCAGAGGAATCGAAGATGGAGGAATCAAATTCAGGTCGGCTGGGTCGGCCACGTTCAAGTCAAACGCCCTACCCACTGGTGCCAAAAGTGGTGTCCAAAAAAAGATCTTGGCTGGGGGTGGAGGGGTATGAACAGTAAGGGAGAAATAAGACAATGTGGAGAGAAACAGAATCTCCAATGAAGGCAGTGGTGTTGGAACAGGACTATAAATTATGGTGCCTAAAATAAAATATTAAATTCAATTAAAAGATCTCAGCGTGAATACTACAAATTTCTAAATTCTGTGATTAACTTTATATTTCTTCTGTGGACAGCACTGATAAAGACACCTAGTCTAAAGACCTTGCTGTATTTTTGAAATATGAAGAATTTACTACAAACAAATATAGATAATATGCTAACGTTTTAATAAGTGATCATATATTTGTGGAAATCAACACAAAGTTACTGCGGCTGTTTTTTACAACAAACCAAAAATGTCTTTGAACTTTCATGAGCAGCATTAATCCAGAAAGCATCTTCACTGTGAAAAAATGCTTCACAATTCTCTGTGAGGTTTTCTCCATGCCCTCTTCCTCTAAAATTAAATTCCATGTCTCAAATCTGTCAGTAGTTAATAGAACAAAGAATGTAGATAAACATTTTATGAGGGAAAAAAAAACAATTATTGAAAGAGAAAAGGAAACAAAGACTAACCTTCAAGTAGGTTCTAGGAACAAGACCTATACTTCCTTTGGCATTCTTGGCTCTCCACCAACCATCAGGGTGTTTTTCAGTTATATGGAGAATTTCCCCTTTCTAAATGTAAAATCAAGTTTAAAAAGTTAATGAAAATCAACAGTCAGGCCTGTTATTTCATTACTTAATGCTTTGGAATAGATTCTTGGTAAATGGTTCATTTTTTCCCCCTGAATCTGAAGGTATCATTTGGAAGTTTAACACTCATCCAAATTATAGATTCAAAAGGGCTACCCTTCAGCCATCATTTTCAGGGGCCCCACACTTAATTCTACAATATCATCTTATGGATGGAAATGATTATGTAACTTCTGCCTAAAAAATCACAACTATTTACAATGGATTTAGTCTTTCTTCTTTTTTATTTTATTTAATTTTCTTAAAATTTTTTTGAATCACTGTGAAATAGTTACAAGCTTTCATGTTTGGGTCATAATAACACAATGATCAAACACCCATCCCTCCACCAGTGCACATTCCCCAACACCAATATCCCCAGTATACCCCCCCCTTTCCCACCCTCCCCCTGCCTCCATGGCAGACACTATTCCCCATACTCTCTCTCTCTACTTTTGGTCATTATGGTTTGCAATGCAGATGCTGAAAGGTTATCACGTTTGGTCCATTATCCACTTTCAGCACACATCTCCCATCCCAATCGGTTCCACAAGCCATCATTTTCTTAGTGATCCCTTCTCAATTCCAGCTGCCTTCTCCCCTCTGCTCAAGAGGCAGGCTTCTAGCTATGGAGCAATCTTCCTGTCCCATGCATCTACTATCCTTAGGTGTCAGCCTCATGTTATGTTGTTTTATACTCCACAAATGACTGCAGTCCTTCTATGTCTGTCCCTCTTTTTCTGACTCATTTCACTTAACATGATACTCTCCATGTCTATCCATTTATAAGCAAATTTCATGACTTCATCTCTCCTAAACAGCTGCATAGTATTCCATTATGTAGACGTACCAAAGTTTCTTTAACCAGTCAACAGATTTAGTCTTTCGACCTTACTACCAGGAACATATAATACAAATAGAGTTTAATTGCTCTGTTAGGTATGCAAACATCCCTAGGTCTTTATTCCACCTACCTTAAATGTAAGATCCTCAGCTTGTTGAGCAGTAAAATCTCCAATAGCAATGTATTCTTTTATTGACTGCTGGTGAGATTTACTTTCTTCGTTCTCTTCCTCTTCTATTTTTTCTTCATCCCTGCTTTCTTCACTTTCTTCTTCTTCATCATCATCTTCATCATCATCATCAACCTCTTCTTTTTCTTCTTCTTCCTCTTCTTCCTCCTCTTCTTCTTCTTCTTCTTCATCTTCAGAAGAATCATCATCTTCCTCTTTTTCAGTATGTTCAACTCTAACAATAATAATTCTATTTCATTATACTATTCTTATTATTCTCTATGATAAGGATTCCTGGGAATGTATGGAACAAATCAAGTATGAACATAGCTTACATATACAGAAACCACATTTGAAGCCACTCTTTCATATAATCGTCCAAATATCATGATAGCTCATATAATTTTCATATCATTGCATCAACTATTTCATATAAGATTTGAAATAATCTGCTCATATCATTAAAACTGCCATTATAGGCATCATCCCTATTTTCTAATATTTGTTTATTTGGCTTTTAGATCTCTGTTTTGCTTCTCCAACTGCATTATAAATAACCAAAGGCAGAGGGCAAAACTTCTGCTGCTTTATATGTCTGCTGCTTTTTATATTCTAGGGCTAACAATAAGCAAATATGGATTAATTATATTGCTATTGCCAACTGTTTATATCTGTACCGGTACATGTCTATATTGAGTCAAACACTGAAACTATTGGTAACATAATACTGGAAAGTAAGAAGGAAAGACACATACTCAGTTCTGTTTTCTGTATTTAGGGACACAGCAAGTTCCTGCAGCTTGCAAGTAAGATCATCCAAAAGACTGTGCTCCTCCTCTTTTTTCTGATTATAGTTTCCAACGGGTGCAGGTTCATCGGCCTACAAGAGAAGAGAAGGCTGTTTTCATGGAAAGATTTATTTCAATGTCCTACTTATTAAGAAGTAATCCTCCAGAAGTATTAGATGATAAAGCAAATATCTATGTTAGAGAGGAGTTTAGAGAACGGTAGATTACTATGCTTGAGTGCAAGTCCGATGAAAAATTACATTGTATTATTGCTTTTCCTAGTTTCCTTGTTGTTACAGACCATCTCTAGTCAATAGGGAGAAGGCTGGCATTGGTGTCAAAGATAGGCATCGCACCCAGGTTGTGTCACTTATTAGACATGAGAAGGTCACTTAGGGACCTTGGTTTCCTCATCTATGGAACAATGACATTATGTTTTCTAATTGAAGGTCAGTCTGCCTCCAAATTTCAAAAGTTGTCTTAAACTATGGGTCACAACATCATATAGGGTTGTATAGCCTTTTAAAATTTTATTTTAAGGGGCTGGAGCAACAATACTGCGGGTAGAGTGTTTGCCTTGGACGTGTCCACCCTGGGTTTGATCCTCAGTATCCCATATGGTCCCCCAAGCACTGCCAGGAGTAATTCCTGAGTGCAGAGCCAGAAGTAAACCCTGAGCTTTTCTGGGTATGACCCAAAAAGAAAAAAAATGATTTTAAGATAATTGTATAATTTATTTTAATGTTTTCTTTGTATACTTATTTTACACACATTTATACACAATGTCACATAAAAACTTATTGATAGAAAGGGGTCACAAGTGGAAGAAATTAAAGCAGCTTTCTTTGTATCACTTGAGACACTGGGGAAATTTAGAAAAGATGGGGCCAGAAACATTGTACAATGGGTAAGGTACTTGCCTCACATGTGGTTGACCTCAGTTTGATCCCTGGAACTAAAGATGGTTCTTGAGTACCACCAGGAGTGATCTCTGAGCACATAGCCAGGAATAAGGCTGGACGTGGTCCCAACTACCATGCTCTCTCCCCAAAAACAGAAACTCAGAAGAGATATCAGTGGCCACTTAATTCAGGTGTGTTCAGGGGGTCTGACAAGCTGACAAAGATATTTTCACAGAAAATATTCTGAGTCTCTGGACACCTAGCTCAAGTTCAGATTTGAAAAGAAGGTGGGGGTGGGGGGAAGAGACAACCAGGGGAAATCCGGTTCCTGACACTTCTGCAAGGTCACTGGGATTTGAACCGTCAGGGGACATGAGAAGCTTTTCTTCACAACTTACAGTAAGGATTGAATTTTATTATTTCTTCTTACAACAAAGAAAACAATTCTAAATTATAAAGCATAAAGCTGTACAATTCAAAAATAAAGATAGTTGCTGCTTGGACTTTCTGAGCTCCCAGTTCTGGGTCTGTTCATCCCAGCTGAACCTGAATATGAGGCCTCTCTTCTCTGCTCCAAAGCACAGGCCTAGCCATGGGGCATGTTGGCCAGATCAGCTCTGGCCCAGGGAGAACTCATGACAGAGGCACAGCCCAGAACACACCCACGGCCACCAATTTCCACCTAAGGAAAAATCTTGTCTAAAGACAGGTCTTAAGGGGTTGATATCAAGGATATACAAGGTACTGGTTAAACTCCACAAGAAGAAATCACCCAACCCCATCAAAAAATGGGGTGAGGAAATGAACAGAAACTTTCGCAAAGAAGAAATTCGAATGGCAAAAAGGCACATGAGAAAATGCTCTACATCACTAATAATCAGAGAGATGCAGATCAAAACCACAATGAGATATCATTTCACACCACAGAGACTGGCCCACATCCACAAGAACAAAAGCAACCGGTGCTGGCGTGGATGTGGCGAGAAAGGGACCCTCCTTCACTGCTGGTGGGAATGCCGGCTGGTCCAACCCTTTTGGAAAACAGTATGGACGACTCTCAAAAAATTAGAATTTGATCTGCCATTTGACCCAGCTATAGCACTCCTGGGAATATATCCCAGAGAGGCAAAAAGGTATAGTCGAAGTGACATCAGCAATTGTTTGTTCATTGCAGCACTCTTTACAATAGCCAGAATCTGGAAAAAACCTGAGTGCCCAAGAACAGATGACTGGTTAAAGAAACTTTGGTACATTTACACAATGGAGTACTATGTAGCTGTTAGAAAAGATGAAGTTATGAAATTTACATACAAGTGGTACTACATGGAAAGTATCATGTTAAGCGAAATGAGTCAGAAAGAGCGGGATAGACACAGAAAGATTGCATTCATCTGGGGAACATAAAGCAACAAAAAGGGAGATTAACACCCAGGAATGGCTGAGATTAGTACCAGGAATTTTGCTCCATGAATGGAAGGCCAGCCCCACGTTCTAGGTGAAAAGGAAGCTCAGATAGAGAAGAGAGTACCAAATGAAGGGTGTTGTGAGGACCCTCCCAGGGTGGGAGAAGCATGCTAAAAGTAGTCTATAGACCAAACATGATTGCCACTCAAAGCCTCTCTTGCAAAACACAGTACCCAAAAGAAGAGAGAGAGAACAAGGGGGAATACCCTGCCACAGAGGCAGGATGGGACGGGGGGATGGGGGGTGGGGGGCGGATGCTGGGACCCGTGGTGATGGATGATGGGCACTGGTGGAGGGATGGGCACTTGATCATTGTATAACTGAAACCCAAGCACAAAATTTGTAAGCCTATAACTGTACCTCATGGTGTTTCACTAATAAAAAAAGAAAAAAAAAGAAAAAAAAAGAAAGACAGGTCTTCTGTTATATGATTAACTGTGGCACTTACTTTGCTTAATTTTTGGAGAGTATTTTTATTTTCATCTATTGCTTGCTTTAACTGGATACATCTAAATTTTAAAAGAAAAAGAAAAATGTTAATTTTTTTCCCTATTGTCAGAAGCAGAATGTTACCTTATAAGTTTATATCTCATTCTGTAAGTAGGCAAGAGGATTAGGAACTACATAGATGATGGTGAATATTCACATGCAAACACTTTCCACACCAGCTTAGGTGTGATCTTTACAACCAATTCTAAGGTACCCAGACAGAATAATCAAAACGCTCAAAAGGCTGGGGTGTCTTGGGGCTTCAGTTTCCTAGCTCTGAAATAGGAAGAACACCAAGGTAGAAATGTTTCTCCTGCTTTAAAATCCCAGAAAATTAGAATTTAGTCATGATACAACTGATAACGGTAGTTAACAGCTAAGTCACTGTGCATCACACACAATACTCAGGCACTTACATGCATGCCCTCTTTTGAGCCACCTAACAATCCCCACTTCAGCTCAAGACAGCAAAGTTCTGCAAGGCGCAGGTAGCACTTCAGTGACGGTGAAGAGCAAAAGGCAGCTGGGGTTCCGAGCTCCCTTTCTACCACATCACCGTCCCCATGTGAACTTGTCCTTTCCAACTGGGCACAGTGTTCATCATTCCATACACGGCTCAAATAATTTAGCTCAAGTCTTAGACACTTAAATGAAAAGTGCAAAAATGAGGAGCAAGAAAGATAGGACAGCAGGGAAGAACAGCATAGAAGGCGTTATTTTATACATGATCACTGGGGTTCCAAGCCGCACTAGGACTGATTCTTGAGCGCAGAACCAGGAATAAGCCCTGAGCACTTGAGTATAGCCCACTAAACCAAAATAACTAAATAAATAAAATGCTATATGGGGATGGATGATCTTTTATACACAGAGAACATTATAGTTACTTGGGTTTTAAAATGATTGTTAATTTACTAAAATTAAAATTTTAAATGTAGCCTTTTTTGAAACTTTAAATTCAACCTATTAATGTTAACTATTAGAAATAATTAAGCAAGTATATCACCTTCACTTTCATATTATTATCAATTTATCTACTTTGAACAAACCCCTTAACCAATCAATCCTAATAACAAATTAATAAAACCCTTTTTGACATTTTACAATTCATTTACATTTTTACTTTAGTTTTAAGTAGTTTTGAATGCCTGACTTAAGACATTTCTAAATTATTCTAAATATTTTTTAATAAATAATGTGAATTTCATGGTCTTTTGAATGCTTTATCTTTAAAATACCTGAAATACAATATCTTAATCCTAATACAAAAATATTAATAGTATAATTTGATTTACTTCTTCATATCTATGTCTTTGGGTTTAGGGGGGTTCTTTTTGGTTTGGGGGCCATACTCAGTGACACTCAGGTGTTATTCCTGGCTCTGTGCTCAGGAATCACTCCTAGTAGTACTCAGGGGGCCATGTAGGGTTCTGGGACTCGAACCCGGGTCAGCCTCATACTAGGCAAGCTCCCAACCTGCTATTCTATCTCTCTGGGCCCATCTATGTGATTTTTTGAGGTAAGGAGTTTGGACCACAACCAATGGTGCTTAGGACTTATTCCTGGCTCTAAACTCAGGAAATGCTCCTGTTGATACTCAAGGACTGCATGTAGTGCCAAGGGCAAATCAGAGTCACATACAAGGTACATGCTATACTTACCTGTATCTCTTTGCCCTACATTTTGAATTATCTTATTTGCTGTTACCGCTATATTATTTCTCATTATCCTTGTTTGTTTGAGAGGCATTCCGAACAGTGCTTAGTGCTTTCTTCTGGCTCTGAGCTCTGAGCTCAGAAATCATTCCTGGTGGGACTCAGGGACCATATGTAGCACTGCAGCACTGTCACACTGTCCTCCCGTTGTTCATCAATTTGCTCAAGTGGGCACCAGAAATGTCTCCATTGTAAGTCTTGTTGTTACTGTTTTTGGCATATCAGATATGCCACGGGGAGCTTGCTAGGCTCTACCATGCTGGCGGGATACTCCCGGTAGCGTGCCAGGCTCTCCGAAAGGGATGAAGGAATCGAATCCAGGTCAGCCGTGTGCAAGGCAAATGCCCTACCTGCTGTGCTATTACTAAGCACTGTTCAGAACGTCCCCCAAACAAAGAAACAAGGATAATGAGAAATAATATTTTCTAAATTATTATAAATATTTTTTTAAAATGTGAATTTCATGGTCTTCTGAATGCTATCTTTAAAACACCTGAAATATAATATCTTAATCCTAATCAAAAATATCAATAGTGTAATTTGATTTACCTCTCCATATTTATGTCTTTGGGCTTAGGGGGATTCTTTTTTGGTTTGGGGGCCATACCCAGTGACACTCAGGTGTTTGTTATTCCAGCTCAGCCATGTGCAAGGCAAACCTTACTCACTGTACTGTCTCTCTAGAACCAGCCATTATCTTATCTTTTTGTAAACTGTACTAATATGAAAAAAAAGAAATCCTAAAATAATTTCTATGCTGTAAATAATACTCATTAAAGTTGGCACAATTTCTAAAAAGTTCAAATAAGTAAATATACTTTACCTTTGGTAAATATCTCGCTTTTTACTGGTTTCTGTAATTTCTGTCACTTGGCTCTCAGAAAGCAAACTCTCAACCTACAACAAATAGAGAAAGTTTAAATGATCTTATTGCAAAATATCATAACTTCAGGAAAGAAAGTTTTGGTTATTTTTTACAATATTTTATAATATGCTTTCCAGAGTACAATGAAGTTGAATTGTACAGGGAAGCTCATTTATCTACCACCACAATTCTACATTTTACCACCACCCGTGGGCTGGAGTGATAGCACAGCGGTAGGGCATTTGCCTTGCAAACAGCCAACATGGCTGACCCGAGTTCGATTCCTCCGCCCCTCTTGGAGAGCCTGGCAAGCTACTGAGAGTATCTTGCCCTCATGGCAAAGCCTGGCAAGCTACCCGTGACATACTCGATATGCCAAACACAGTAACAATTGTCACAATGGAGACGTTACTGGGCCCGCTCGAGCAAATCGATGAACAATGGGAGGACAGTGACAGTGACCACCACCCTTATTAAACATGTCAATCTATCCCTCAATCATTTTATGTATTTTAAAATAAACTGTAATTATTAATATATTTCCCTCTAAATAAAGCATCCATGGTATGCCTAGTTTAATATTTGTCACTTAATAAGCATATGTGTATGTATATACGTGTATATATTCATATATATATAGCCATCAAATATTTTGCTTTTAAATAAGTCTCAAACGGATTGACCATTCAGAAACTATCTGACTGTTCCAAGTTTTACAATCTTTAAAATTATTTTGGGGGGCTGGAGCGATAGCATAGCGGGTAGGGCGTTTGCCTTGCATGTGGCCAACCCGGGAACCCGGGTTCAATTCCTAGCATCCCATATGGTCCCCTGAGCACTGCCAAGGGTAATTCCTGAGTGCAGAGCCAAGAGTAACCCCTGTGCATTGCCGGTTGTGACCTAAAAAGCAAAAAAAAAAAAAATTATTTTTGGAAACCAGAGTGACAGTATAGTGGGTAGGGTGCTTGCTTTGCAGGTGGCTGACTTGGGCTTGATCCTGGCCTCTTATAATGGTCCCCTGAGCCTGCCATGAGTGATTCCTGAATGTAAAGTCAGGATATAAGCCTAAGCCCTTATGGACGTGGTTCCAAAAATTTTTTTTAAAGATCGCAAAATAATTTTATTTACAGAAAATAATACTTGGTAACACAGTTAATGAAAACTTAAAAATTGCAAGAAAAGGCCAGAGAGCAGGTACAGCGGGTAAGCCGCATGACATATGTGCAGCTGGTCCAGGTTCCCCTTCTCCTCCCTACCCTCAGCACCTCCAGGAGTGATCCCTGAGCACAGGGCAAAGAGTAAGCCCTGAGCACTGCCAAGTGTGACAAAAAACGAAACAGATTGCAAGAAAATAACAATGTGAACTCTGAATATCAGAAAAGAGACAAGGCATACTTTTCCTTTTTTCTTATTTTTAAGGTGGTATATATTTGATGCTCACAACGATGAAAATATAACTGCACTGCACTGTAGCACTGTCCCCCTTTGTTCATCGATTTGCTCGAGCGGGCACAGTAACATTGTGAGACTTGTTCTTACTGTCTTTGGCATATCCAATAAGTCACCGGTAGCATGAAGAGAAAATAATCATCTCAGTATGTCCATCTATGTTTTCTGTACACATATAGAGTACAACGTTTATCAACATACTATATATTCATTGTTATATTATTTTTATTACTTGATGTCTTATCACAGCTGTGTTCCCTAATAAAATCTCTTTAACGGGCTGGAATGATGGTACAGCGAGTAGGGTACTTGCCTTGCATGTGGTTAGCAGCTGGAGTAGGAGTTTGAGGGGTTCAAATCCTGTTTGGGGCTGGATTACCAGGGTTGGAGTAAGAGTTTGGGAGGTTCAAACCCTGCTTGGCTGCTGGATTACTGAGGCTGGGGGTGGATTAAGCCTCTAGAAAGTGGGTTAGGAGTCGGGTCCCGTGATTAAAATGCGCCCCGATCTTGCCCGCCGCCAGGGCCCTGGGCGCTTCAAATAGCTCAGACCCCACCACTCAACAGCCAGACCATACCTGTTGCTTCAGTTCCTGGGTGCGGCGCTGCACAGCTCGGAGGGGATCTCGGGGCCGCCTGGTCAGCATCTCCCGCTTCCCCGCGCAGAGGCAGCCGGTTGCCGGGGAAACCAAAGCCGTGGCTCCTGAACGTGACGTCATCGCCGCGCGCCGTCGCCCAGCCCGGCTCTGGCGGGTGGGTGCGGGCGAGTGGTGGACCCTGCTGTCTCCGCGGTTCTTGGACCCTCGGCCCCGCCTGGGCGAACCCGTCTAGGCGTCTTTACCCGGCCAGTTCCCGAGGAGTAGTGGGACCGGGGACACGGCCCTGGCGTCTGAAACTATAGAGTGTTGTTGGTTTCTGGGCCTTGAACTGCGCGCTTTCTCCCAACCCAAGAATGGATTAAGCAAGGATTCGTAATACAGTAAACTCCCTTGAAACTCCCTTAAACTCTTGAATGAGCTCCTAGATACAAATACAAATGTTTATTACATAAGCCGTTTCAGAAGGCGTTTAAAATGCTCTGCCAGCGTTTAGCTGATTCCTTTCCTTCTTGCACGCTCCCTTCCTAAATTTTTTTTGGGTCACATCCCGCGATGCACAGGAATCACTCCTGGCTCTGCACTCAGAAATTAATCCTGGCAGTGCTCGGGGGACCATATGGGATGCTGGGAATCGTACCCGAGTCCGCAGCGTGCAAGGCAAACGCCCTACCCGCTATGCTATTGCTCCAACCCCTGCCTTCCTAAATTCTATGAGGACGGTAATTCTGTCTGTTCTACAGCTTGACTGAACAGATCCATATCTGGCAACTACTCTCAGGGATGTTGGGTCAGGTTTTCCCTAAGCAGGACTGCATCCTATAAATCTAACTTCCCAAACCTCTTTCCACCAAGTATGAATGAGGACCTGAGCTCACTTTTCAAATGATGAACCATGCTAAAGTCAAACACATTATTCTGATTGCACGGTCTCAATGACTGATGGTATTTTCCCTTCAAGGTAAAACAACACAGAGGGGAAAGTGACTAGCGTCCCCAACTCCTCACTGAAAACACCATATCATCACCTCACCCTTATCAAGATATAGATGGTCAGCGAACCTGATCAGCTTGCCCAGCACGCAGCCTACAGGGTTTGATTCCAGCACCACATACCGTCCCCTAAACCAGCCAGGAGTGATTCCTGAGCAGAGTCAGGAACAAGCCCTGAGCACAGCTGCGTCTCTCCTCACCCAGTAACAAATGAATATTAAGTGCTTATGAAATGTATTAATGGATTAATAAATTTAATTTATCTAGAAAAGGCAAGAGCCTTTCTTTCTAGTCCCTACCCCCCCACCCTACTCCCCATAGTAAGCACTATCCTAAACTCTAAGAACAAAACTTGTTAGCCTCTTTGGAAATAGTGCTATGCAACTGTCTTGGCATCTTGGCCAACTCTTCACTCAAGAGGTTCAGCTACCTATTTATTTCCCCCAAGTTGTACTAACTTACACCCTTACAGAAATGTATGGGCTTTATTCTTCAAATCTTTGGCAGCATTTGGTACACTGTTTATTTTGTGGCTAAGGTTTTTAATTAATTATTCCCCATTAGGGCTCATGAAACTTAAAATAATCATAGTATTTCCATTAAAAAATATTAACAGTAGGGGCTAGAGTAGGCACAGCAGGTAGGGCACTTGCTTTGTAGTTTATGGGGTTCAATACTGGTAGGTCCCCTGATCCTGTCAGGAATGATACTTGAGTACAGACCCAGGAGTAAGACCTGAGCACAACTGGGTATTTATCCACCCAAAAAAGTAACAAATAAGCACTAAATGCTACAAAAATATATTAGTGGGTTAATCTACTTCAAAATGACCTTGAAGAGGTAAGCAGACTAAAAAGTGCACTGATAAATCTATCAAGTTTCTGATAGTTTTATTGAGGTGCTGGAATTAACAATATTATTATGCTTCTCATACATACTTCATTCCAACATCACACTCATCACCAGATCCCACTTCACTCCACCAGTGTCCCAAGGGCCCTGCAAGCAACAGCCTCCTACCCCACTACCACATCAACTCAGTTCTATAAATAAATCTTCAATTTCAATGAGTTTGACCATTTGTTATTGTTTCTTTATATTCCATTTCTTTATATTCCATTTTTAGAGAACATCAAGATCACTGCCTACACCCCAATCTACAAAAATCAAGAATTTCTGGTCAGCTGCAAGGATCAGTATTTATAAAGCCCTCCCCCACAGCCTTCAGATGATTATAACATGCAGCTCCGTGGAAAACCTTCACTCTCTCCGGTGCTGAGAAATGAGAGAATTTCCATCTGGCAGTTTTTCTGGTTGAGAAAGATCTACAAACTAGGGATAAGAGATGTAGACTGGGAGGTGAAGGTGTGTGCAGGAACGCTACACACTTTACAGAACCCAGATGGGTTCAGCTGCTGTTAGAACTTATCTGATCTAGCCAAGTGAAGAAGGTTAAGGGTCTTTCTCATCAATTTGGTGACTCAGAGAAGGCATAAGTGGACATGGAAACCAAGCCAACCAGGGAAGTCTGAGATGAGTGATGAAATCAGTTTCATTGTGGGAAACCAATGTTCTGGAGTGGACAATGTGCAGAGATGAGGTGTGGAGGATGCAGTTTCCTACAAGGGAGGTTTACCAGTTGAAAAGAAAGAAGGGAAACCTAGCACAATGTGATGAGATCCAAGCCTGTGACAAGATCAAAGGCATCTGAGAGATGGAACATAGGGGGAGAAAGGCATGATAAGGAAGTAAAAGTGTTCCTACACAGGTAACTGTTGTGATGACAACAACAGGGACAAACAGGAGAGGGATGCTGAACCCCTGGTATCATTTCCAGGTTAACCATGTGACCAGGACTCCCAACCTCAGCTGTAAGTTTTTGCTGATACAAAAAGTAACATCTCCCTGTGAGTCAAAGGTTTCAGGGATAATAAAACCAAAACTGTTGAAGGAGGACAAGGGTAATGAGCTAGGAGAATGTGAAAGGCAATTATGAAAGGAACTGCGCATGATAGAGCCAAGAACACATGGGCAGAGTGGAAAAAGGCATCAGGCCAAAAGCTAGGGGAATATCATGAGTGCTGTGTGTTGGCAAATACTACCTAAAAACCTAGAGAGCACTCAGGAATAAGTTGCAAATGCCCAGCGGGACAGGGATGACAGACAGGGAAGTAGATGAGTGTGTCAGGCGCTGCAAATAAGCAATCAGAAAGGAACCAACATTGGAGAGACCAGGGTTACCAGGAACAGACACAGAAGTAGTTCACCTGCTTACAGAAGCAGATTCTAGCCACTGGGGGAGCGGGCTTAGGAAACTGATCTCTCACAGCACCTCAATTCTAAGTCTCTATGAAGAATGGTGACTGGCATACTTGAGCAAAAGGCAGCCCAGTTGAAACAGAGCTCTAAGAACTAGTTTTAGTCCCTGAGTAATATCATCTTAGAATAAAAATTAAGCTGAAAGTAAGGTAACACAGCAGCCCCAGTAAAGATGGGGAAATAAAGCTTCCTAGAGAAACATCTCTGAATTTTCTCATTTTTATGAAGCTATTAAATTTGATGAGCCATAAATCTTTAGAGGAATGAGCAGAGGTCATGTTCTCGAACAGTCTTGCAAAAGCATACTAACTGGAGACTTGGTCATCCACTGATTCTCATAGTTGGAAATGATCACTAAGTGCTATTCAGGAGGTCTCTCCTTCACATGTACATCCCAAGACACATAAATGAAGGCTTTGCCAAAAAACAGAAAAATCACTTATACTCTATACTTGAAGGGATATAGTCACTCTTAGAAGGCAAAGTCTTTAATCTTTTATATCATTCTTACCAGTTATTTTCAGTTGTTTGCCTCCCTAAGCAGATCCCCTCAAAAAAAGTTAACCAAAGGGATGCATAGGCCAACTGTCTTGAAATTGGTACAAAGAACTGGCATAGATTCCTGAAAAGAGAACGTATCTGGGGCCAGAAAGTTTGGGATTAAGGCACATGTAGGGACCCCAGACCCATGCTACGTGGTCCCCCAAGTACATCCTCTCGCCCTTGCACTGAACCACCGCTTCAGCCAAAATGGGAAGGGCCCCACTTCTCTTGAACACTGCTTGGAAAAACCCCTTTAAAAAGATTATATCTACTCAAAACAAATTTTCAGACGCCCAGGTTTCTTGATGCAGTAAAATGGTAGGCAAGCACCATTTTTTCCCTTTGACGAAAGATTCAAAGATGTCGATATTTTATTTAAAAATAAAATTTACTCATAATTTACAAGAAGAGATTAGTTCCATTCAGGGCTCTAGATCCATCTTCAACACTGTTGGAAACAGAGAAGAAAAATAAAATTAGAAATACATCATTAACTTCAACGGTGTGGCTTTAAACTATGAACTAAAGCACCTGGTGTTACATAGAAAATCTGTGACACACAGCTCTGATGATGTATCCAAGACTTATGTAAAAGCAAGGCTTTTTCCAAGTCTCTGATCACTCTACATAACCAAGTTGCCAGGAACCTAAGAATTTTGCCTGGTGGAGCATAGTTTCATATACTGAGGTGGGACCCCATAAAGGGTTGCATAATTGAGTATGTTTTTAAATAAGCTGGGCTGGAGTGATAGCACAGCTGTAGGGCGTTTGTCTTGCTGCAGCCAGGCTGGCCAAGCTGGGTTCAATTCCTCCGCCCCTCTCAGAGGGCCTGGCAAGCTACCGAGAATATTCAATATGCCAAACACAGTAACAAGAAGTCTCACAATGGAGATGTTACTGGGCCCGCTCGAGCAAATCAATGAACAACAGGAGGACAGAGAGATTTAAATTAGCATTGATTAGGAACAGAGACATAGCTATGGCTTAAGCCGCTAGCCTTGCAAGCTGTGGACTCAGGTCCCATCCCCGCATTGCATACTGTCCCCTAGTACCTCCTAGAGTCAGAATATTCAATATGCCAAACACAGTAACAAGAAGTCTCACAATGGAGATGTTACTGGGCCCGCTCGAGCAAATCGATGAACAACAGGAGGACAGAGAGATTTAAATTAGCATTGATTAGGAACAGAGACATAGCTATGGCTTAAGCCTCTAGCCTTGCAAGCTGTGGACTCAGGTCCCATCCCCGGCATTGCATACTGTCCCCTAGTACCTCCTAGAGTCACTCCTGAACACACATGAAGAAAATAACCCCCACCCCACCCCCAAATAAAATAAACATGATTTGTTTGCGGGTGTTTGATTTGTACACTTATTTTATATGCCTAGGATCTAGTTAAAAACTTCTGGGACAGGAGGTGGAGCAACAGTACAGTGGGTAGGGTCTTTGTCTTGCATGCGGCCAACCCGGTTCGATTCCCAGCATCGCATATGGTCCCCTGAGCACCGTCAGGAGTAATTCCCGAGTGCAGAGCCAGGAATAACCCCTGTGCTTTGCCGGGTGTGACCCAAAAAGAAAAAAACAGTTCTTCTGGGACAAAAGAAGGCAGTGAATGGAAAAAGTTGAAGAAGCCCTGTACCGGCGACACCAAGGATATTAATGAAAAGTATAAGGTGTGGAAGGGGTGGCTGGAGGGTCTCTGCGGCCTGTTTTGTTCCCCTTTCGTTCTTTCCAGTATTCCCCATTTCCAAAGAGCAATTTATTTGGGGATCAGAACTTCCTCTTCTCCGAGGTCCGGAGCCACTGGGCTCCAGCAGGGGGCAATCCAAACGCCCCTCCGCCCCAACACCTCCGCCCGACCCGCAGTCCGGGTTCCGCTCACCGACACTGCGAGCGCGGCGGGGCGGGGCGCGGCGGGCACACCCGGCCCCAGTCGCCGCGGCGGGGAGGGGACGCGGCCGCCCGGGGACGCGCAGAGCCGGCAGCGCGGGCTCAGGCCAGGTCCAGCTTCTTCTGCATCACCGCCAGCTTGTCCTGCAGCCTCCGCTTCCTCCAGTCCAGGTAGCGCCTTCGCAGCCGGTTCGCCTGCCAGCCCACTAGCACGCCGGAGGCGAAAGCCACCAGCACCGTCAGCTGCAACGTCCTCTCGGACACATCCGCCATCGCGACCTCCGGGCGTGCAGCGCGACCTACGGCGCGGCGGCGGGGTCAAAACGCGCAGCGCGTTTACGGAGGCCGCCAAGTACAGATTTGTCTGGTTTATTTTCCTGCCGATGGCCTTCCAAAAGACATGTCACACATGCCCATCTGCTCCTTTCTCTGAGCCCCTACAACAGTCAGTTGTTTGACATTGATCAAATATTGCCTGGCATTTTAAGCTAACTTTGGTTGACGCGTCTTTCCTTGTCAATTCAGTGGAAGCGCCTTAGGAACTGTCAGGCTTGAATAAATAGCAGTTCTCCTACATTATTAAATAAATAAATAAATAAATAAAAAGGGAAAAAAAGAAACTTTCAGCCTTGGAATGCAAGCCACAGCAGATGCTCGCTTAGTGGTGTAATAAATGAATCAGGTTGAGTACCACTTACTTCGGGATAATGATGAGTGGTTTGTCTTATTTAAAAGAATTTTCCTGATATTTCTCAGAGGATTATCGGCACATGAATTCTGCTATGCTTGTCTCCAGAATTTGAAACAGACCTTATTTGTGTGACAAGCACAAAAACCTTGTGGATTATGTGGAATCATAGAGGATGATCACAAACTAAAACGGGAGTGATATCAGTCATGACTATGGTTCCAATTGTGGTATGATTATTGCAAAATGCAGTGGAACTCTGCTCACACCTGGTCTGTTAACTTAGTAAAAGTTTTCTTTTTTCATTTCCTAACAGCAAGGAATAGAAAATAATTTGCATGTGTATGGCAGCACAATATACCTTCCTGTCTTGCCGTGGCCTATGCCAGTTCTCTTCTAATGATATAATCCAGAGGAAACTCGACAGTATTAATAACCCATAAACCAATATAGTAGTTAATTCTCGACAGTTCAAAGCAGGATATGGTAAAAGCTGCAGATGCAAAGACATCTAAAAACTAGAAGGTGATAGAGAATCCTCTGGCTTATAATTCCTCATATAGGGACCAGAGTAATAGTACAGTGGATAGAACACTTGCCTTGCATGTGGCCAACCTGAATTTGATCCTCAGCATCCCATGTGGTTCTCTGAGCACTGCCAAAAGTGATCCCTGAGTACAGAACAAGGAATAAGCCCTGAGCACCACTTGGTGGGGCCCCCAAACAAATAATAATAATAGCAATAATAATAAACTCTTGGATAATCTTATCTGAGAAAGTTGTGACTCCTGGTGCATGGTGAGTTTCTACTAGTTCAGTGGTCTCACACATATCTGGAAAGCCCTCCTAAAGAGAGAAGTAAGCTGCTATACCTCACACTGCTTTGAACAGTAGATTTCTTTGGATTTGCAACATTTGGGTGTGCTGCAATCAAATAACCCAGACTTGTAGTCAATTGTGTGGTGAGCTGTCCTGCACTTGGGCTTTTCATCAAGTCCAACCAATGTGTGGAAAGTGTTTGTGTCCCTGTGATGATGTCAAAGAGAGCCTCTGGTGAACTCAGAATTTAGAGCATGATCTCTCCTTCCCTCTGGTGCAATTATTCTCCATTTGTAAAGCAGTTTTTGTCTTATTATTTGTGCCTGATAGAATCTAAGCACCCGAGTATGGCATATCAAGACTTTGAAAATGGGCGTTGGGCAGGAAAGGGGGCTGCATCAGTTGGAGGAGAGATAGTACAGGGCTTCCCCACCATACTGTGCTTGCCTGGGTTCAGTCCCTAACAACCCATGTGATCCCCCCCCCCCCAAGCACTGTTCATTGCAAAAATAAGCATTTTCTGGTGAATGAAAGCAGAGAGCATGTGACTGCCTTCCATTATAAAATGAAGCAATGAATGAAAAACGGGGTTCCCTGAGATATAGGGGGAAAAGGTGCTTGTCTTGCATGCAAATGACCCAGGTTTAATATCTGGCACTTCTAGAAGTAATTCCTGAGTTCTGAATCAGGAGGAAGTCCTGATCATTTCCAGGTATGGGCTAAAACCAAAATTAATTAATTAATCAATTAACAAGTATATGAGAGACAGGACCCAGGCATGGCTGAAAGACACACATAGACTTAGACTTATGTATACATTCATGGCTTAAACTTCCTTTGAAATTTTTCTCCCTGATTTGCTGCATCTCTTTCCATCCATGCCTAAGTGCTCATAGGAATCTGTAAATTCCCTATAACTGGTTTGCAAAAAAGGAAAAATCACAGATCTGGTTCATGGATTGACCGCCATGGAAAGCCCAATACAGACAGCAATGATAATGGAAGCATCCAACCAAACAATCATATGGATCTAGGCATCCAATTCTACCTCCCTCTAATTTGTTCAATAGAACCATATGACATGGTCATGTAGATGTGGATAGAAGCTATGCATAGATTTCATACATGTCTCTTCCCTCACCAAGAGTAATATGTCTACTACCATGATTGGGTGCTTACAGCAGAAATCAGTAATGAGCTGTTAGAACAGCACCTGTGGTGGTTGGGGCTGAGGTGGGGAAGGCTGACAGCTGGACTGCATCAATCCTTTCAATCTTGAAGAGAACAGTAACCTATGCTATCATAATGAAAATATTGAACCTGGCTGTGGATTTGCATCCCACAACACATCTTACAGCATGTCCACTCGCAGATTCATGGAAAGCACGACCCACAGCTTCACAATATACATGTGACACTATGTTTGACAAAGGATGTTTGGAACAGGAACCTCAAGCCCCTGGGAAGCTACTGGTTTTGCCAAACAAATACTTGCTGGACAGTGAAGTGCCTTTTTTTATTTTTTTGCTTTTTGGGTCACACCTGGCGATGCACAGGGGTTACTCCTGGCTCTGCACTCAGGAGTTACTCCTGGCGGTGCTCAGGGGACCATATGGGATGCTGGGAATCGAACCCGGGTCGGCCGCGTGCAAGGCAAACACCCTACCCGCTGTGCTATCTCTCCAGCCCCGTGAAGTGCTCTTTTGAAAGCTCAGTCACAGTGCCAGGTGGAAGACTGTGAGGCTGACAGATTATAACAGAGGCCTGGAACCATAGCCAATATTCTCATATGCTGAACCAACATGCCAACTCTTGCACTACACGAATGCATAGATCAGGAACAAGAAGAGTGGCCCCATCGCTATCCTGTCCAGTGCTTCACAAGAGTAACTTTTTTTTGTTGTTTTTTGGGTCACACCTGACAATGCACAGGGGTTACTCCTGACTTTGCACTCAGGAATTACTCCTGGCGGTGCTCGGGGGACCATATGGGATGCTGAGAATTGAACCCTGGTCAGCCGCGTGCAAGGCAAACGTCCTACCCGCTGTGCTATCACTCCAGCCCCCACAAGAGTAACTTTTACTTTGTATGTCTACACAGTCTTGATCTCTGGTTCTAGAAGTACTGATGCTTAGAGGAAAATTCTACATCATTTCATAACTAGATTTCTGTGAACTGTAAGTGGAATTGCGCCTTCACCCGGCTATACACCATTCCCATTCCAGCTGAATAGGTTGTTCTCATATACTGCACCAACATGCAAAAAGCACGATGGCTACATGGATGGAGGGAGAGGTCTGAATGATCAGGCAAAACTATGTCTGGAACTTGGGGGGTTCATGAGGATACCTTTTAGTATATTTCCATGTTCTGTGGTAAAAGTTTATGGAAAACTACAACAACCCAATGAAGAGAGTGAAATTGGCCCAAAACAAAATAAGAACTTGATTCAAAAATTCAAAACACATCAAGCACTTCTGGTTAGAAGTTGTTGAGAATGAATGGAATGTTTTTCTTTTTAGCTTATCCTTCCCTCAAAGCCTTTCACCAGGAAAACAACATGCAGGCTGAACCCTTCCCCTGAAAGGTCTGTTTAGATTTAGAGATAGAAATCCTCAGGGAATTGGCTGACCACTTGGGTCCCCACTAGTCTGCTACAGGCCCCTTCTAAAAATACATTTCTCTAATCCTTTCATATGTAAACTGCTTATTGGGACTGTGCAGACAAAATGGCTTGCTAGGAAGTAAGGAAACTGTTTATTGTCAATAACGCTTGCTCTCTCTCTCTCCTCATCTTATATTCTGTGTTGTTTTTTGGTTCAGTTTTGCTCATGGCTTACTTCTGACTCTGTTCATGGGTCACTCCTGGTAGTGCTGGTGTATCATATAAGGTGCTGGGGATCGAACCACGTTAGTTGTGTGCAAGGTCCTTACTTCCTATACTATTTCTCCTGCCCCTTTACCTATCATCCTGTGCTTAGATGGATCAACTTCTCAGGCAAGAGTGGAACTGGACCTTGATGATGCAACAAGACACATACTAATACAATATGGAACAGAATGACTGGGTCAGCTTACTGACTAAAAGACCCTGTTCATCCAAGGCCAAGTGAATGTCATTACCCCTAAAACCTCAGCACCAGCTACAGAGCAGGAATTGCAGCAGCGATGTGAGGGTCTCTGCCCTGGTACCTGGGGGTGAGCAGCTTTCCAAGTTTCAAATAGAAGCATAATCAAGACCCAAAAGTGAATTAATTATTTTTACACCCTAGCAAAAACAAAAGTAGATGCTGAGGCAAATTGTGCTGGTATAGGTCCATCAGGTCTTTGCATCTTTTGATCAACCCCATTATAGCAAATCTATGTGATCATATTCCATACACTCTCCTCTTAGACTTCCATGGGTCTAGCTGGCAAGGACAGCCATCAGGCAATGAGGAAAGGTGGAGACTGGGGTTGTTATTTCTGAATCCTTTCCATGGAGCCATCACTGTCTGTACCCTCTCTTCTCCAAGTGTTCTTCTGGGTTCAGGACCAGGTAGTCAAACAGGATCCTGCTTTCAGAAGTGCCCTAGACTTGGGCTTTTATAGCATCTGGTTGATCTCTTGAAACATGGGTTTGGGATGAACCCAAAGCTGCATGTCCTGCACTCCATTGCTGAGCTATATATGTCCAGTATCTTGAAAATCCCAACAGTGTTTGGATCTGGGTCTGGTGAATCAAGTCTGCTGAGATATTAGAGCAACCAACTGTCTTGGAGACTTTAATGAGCTGCAGTGTCT